CGTTCAAGAGCCGCGCGCCCGCATCCATCTCGCCCGCGCCGCCCCTGCGCCCGCCAGTTGAACCTGAACAAGATCAGGGACGCGCAGGTGATCATCGCCGCACCAGACAGTGCACCATTCCCTGTTGACGGCCAGGGGTTGCAGAAGGACGATGACGACAACGAATGGTTGTCGATACTTGCATGCATTGTGGGCCAAGCGCGCCGAGAGACCGAGGCGCTCGAGATATTTGTGATTGAGACCCAGCTAGAGCTAGCAGATGTCCCGCCTGGGCGGGCGGCCAGCCAAGCAGACGAAGTGATCGAATATCTGACTTCAGAGCTCGGGGATGGTTGGTGCGTTTGGCCATGGCTGCTGAGCTCGGAGCAGCTGGGGCTGCCCCAGGAGCGCACTAGGATGCACATCTGTGGTAGGAGGAGCAAGCTGTTCAAGGATGGAGCGGACCATCCACCATGTTTGCGCCCAGAACAGTTCCGTTTGCCAGAGTTTCAGCTGGCAGATATGCTCGACAGGAGCCTCCCGAAGGCCCAGGTGACTGACCTGGATGATGCCACGCAGGCGAATTTAAACTCGTGCAAGGATATTTGCATGCTCGAGTCTGCTGGCAACGCCTCCCAAAGACTTGCCGAGGGCGAACATTTGCCCCGAGCTCACGCAAGACAACCATCACTTGCTTGTCTTTGAAAAGGGGACGCTGGATTTCACGATCCATCGGTTCCTGTCGCCAGCAGAGAGGTTCATGATCCAAGGCTTCTCCCCCGAGGTTGCCACTAATTTTTCAGATGCCAGCTGTGCTGTCTCAGCCTCGGGCGCTGCGTGCTCGATGGTCTGCATCGGCCTCTCAGTGGCATGCTGCTTTACAGACCACCGCTAAGTGCCATTGCGACGTGCAGCGTCGCCGCGACTCGAGGGGGCGCTCTGTGCAACCGCCCATGTAGAGGAGATGGGGGCGACCATGCAGGGGGGGAGTACCCACCTATATATATACATACATACATACATGCATATATACATACATACATGCATACATACATACATACATACATACATACATGCATGCATGCATGCATTCATGCATACATACATACATACATACATACATACATACATACATCATATGCATACAAGCACGTTTACAATTATACGTACATGCTTATATACGTATACACCTATGTATATACATTCATATTCATGGCTATGAAGGTTACGTCAACTCGCACACGTTCGGACATATATATGTATACAAGGGCGCACGTACACATATGCGCATGTAAACCTACGCTTGCAACGCCTCCATGCACATGCATCGATCCACATATATAGATACACACATATCTGTATATGTATACAGATATGTATGTATTCTCACGTCGGTGCACGCATCGACTAAGACACCATTCGCCAAACTCAATACATGTGTATACATATATATATATACATGTGTAAGTGCATGCATATATGCTAGCACACAACGGCAGATTAACACACCTACACATATGTAATGATACGGGATGCGCGTGAGAGGGACGGATCGATATCTACGCATGGCGGGATACAGAAATATCGTGAGCGGGGGTCCCACAGAGGGGAACTAAGGAGAGCGAGAGCGAGAGAGAAAGAGAGAAAGCGAGACAATACTATCTACCAGAGAAAGAGAAAAAGAGAGAGAGAGAGAGAGAGAGAGACACAGAGATATAGAGAGATACCTACAACGTAAAAAGAGCGAGCGAGACCTGAACAGAGTGAGGGAGGGAGAAACAAAGAGAGAGGGACAGACAGATAACCAGAGAGAGAGAGAGACAGAGACAGAGACAGAGAGAGATACAGAGAGAGAGAGAGAGAAATAAGAACGACGAAACGAATCAATAAAACTAGACAACAAAAATAAACTGATACGTCGGATACGCAACAACTGATGTCGGCGAATGCGACTTACAACAATGCGGTCTGGGGCTAGACGTCGAGCTAACATTAGAAATCAAATCCATGGCGACACATGGGGGTGGGAACGCACATGCATACGATCATACAGACACACACACACACACGTCGGCATTGCACTGGAAGCGGGGGGATACCGTTATATGACGCAATGTATTTAGATGAGGGCGATGGGCGCACTAATCAGATTGACGTGCTTCGACGAAGGCGCTGCGTTATATATGTTTCCCGCTCGCTGCCAGTCTTGCCTGACAGTCGTTCCAGGCGGAGTTGCGTTTATCCTGCTGTCCTCTAGTCCTCCTGTCCTCCGCCCCTGCCTCCTGTCCTCCGCCCCCACCCTCCCCTCGCCCCATCCCCTGGCGCTCCCGCTCTCCTTCTCCTCCTGGTCCTTTTTCCTCGATCCATCTCCCCCTCACATTCCTTCCCCTCGCTGTCAGCGATGATATTCGACCGCTTGCGGGTGCAACTTCTGTCGTGCAGGAACTTGTCAAACACTGACCGCCTCCTCCTGACCTGTTTGTCCCTAGTGCCTTGGTGCGCGGTTCCGTCCATCGTCTCCAATCTCCCCTTCCTCGTTGTACGCACCTGCGTCTGTGCGCTGCTTATGATGCGTTGCAAGATGATGATGATGATGATGCTGATGATGATGATGATGATGATGATGTTGCTGATGCCGGTTTCTCGCCTCCCCGTTTCTACTTACACTACGGCCCAACTTCTACTTACACTACGGCCCAGTCGTCTCACAAATGCCAACCAACTAATTAGAAATCCCAGCCGCGATAAGAAGATACACGTGATCACCGACTGCGCAGTATAATCATACCATGGCGGATATGGTGGATTAAGGGTGCGAGGCTAGTTCAACTAGCACGGAACAGCCCGCTGGCCATGATTGCCACAAAACAACACCACATCGCACATTCTGTGTAGATTATAAAGATGCGAAAACCAAAGCTGCGCGCAAAAAAAAATCAAGCGCAAAAAAATCAGAAAACGTTTTCTGAAAAAACGCACGCACAGAAAATTTCATTTTTTTCTGAAAAAAAAGACCTCTGGGAATATGAAACCATACCATCCCAGGCAGGCCGATTTCCCCCCATGAGGGTCCCTTGAAACAAAAAAAACACTATTAACACTTTTTTCGCGAATCCCTTGTACAAAATGAGACGAAGTGCGCACGCTCGCGTCGTCGCGCGCGCATGCCGAAATCCTTCAAAAACCTTCGGCGCCGGAAGGATTTCGCAATCGAGTTTCCAAACCACATACAAAAACGCATGGTTTCGCAACACTGTTTTGCTAAAACAACTTCCGCGCGAGCTCTTCTGAAATCAAGGGAAAACCATCGGTTTTTTAGATTTTCACAACATGCTACCGAACGGGCTTCGAGCGCGCGCATGTCGAAATCTGTCGAACGCCCTTGCGCGTGTGCCGTCGCGAGAATCCTCTGCAACAAATGGGACGAAGTGCAGACGCGCGCGTGGTCGCGCGCGTACGCCGAAATCCTTCAAAACCCATCGGTTTCGGAAGGATTTCGAAATCGCGCGTCCAAAAAACCTACAAAAACCCAAGGTTTCGCAACACGGAATTTCAACAAAAGCGTGCGCGCGCGCTCTTGCTCGTCGTCGTCGTCGTCGTCGTCGTCGCCGTCCTCCCTCCTCCCGCGTCGTTGTCGTCGTCGTCGTCGCCTACGTCGTCCTCTGTCTTTCCTCGTGTTCGTCGTCGTCGTCCTCTTTGGCGTCGTGGTCGTTTCCGTCGTCGTTGTCGCCGTGGTCGTCCTTCCTCCTCCTCCCTCGTCGTCGTCGTCGTCCGTCGTCGGCGTCTCGTCGTCGTCCCTCCTATTTCGTCGCCGTCGTCGTCGTCGTCGTCGTTGTCGTCGTCGTCTTCCCTCCTCCCTCGTCGTTGCCGTCGTTGGCGTCGCCGTCCTTCCTCCTTCTTCGTCGTTCGCGTCGTCGCCGTCCTCCCTCCTCCCTCGTCGTTGTCGTCGTTGTCGCCGTTGTCGCCGTCGTCGTCCTCCCTCCTCCCTCGTCGTCGTCTTCGTTTGCGACGTCGTCGTCGTCTTCGTCGTCGTCGTCGGCGTCGGCGTCGTCGTCGTCTTCGTCGTCGTTGTCGGCGTCGTCCTCGTCGCCGCCGTCGTCGTCGTCGTCGTCGTCGTCGGCGTCGTTGACGTCGTCGTCGTCGTCGGCGTCGTCGTTGTCGTCGTCGTCGGCGTCGTCATCGTCGTCGTCGTTGTCATCGTCGTCGTCGTCGTCGGCGTCGGCGTCGTCGTCGTCGGTGTCGTCGTCGTCGTCGTCGTCGTCGTTGTCGGCGTCGTCGAAGTCGTTGGAGACGTCGTCGGTGTCGTCGTAGTCGTTGTCGGCGGCGTCGTCGTCGTCGTTGTCGCTGTCGTCGTCGGCGTCGCTGTCGTTGGCAAGTGCCATTTGGTACCCACCGTCACGGTCTTAAGAGATTTTGCGAACCAAGTTGCGGGTGGGTGGGTGGGATGTTTGCGCGAGCAGTGGAGTGGTCAAGCGCGGTGCAGGGTAGTCAATTGCACCACGTAGATTGCACCATGTAGTACGCTAGAACATACCCTTTGGGGTCCACGCTGGCTAACATGTATTGGAATTAAGGGCTTCTAGATCGGGCCAATCAGATCTGAGCTGTTCTGATGTCGCAGCGGCGTGCAATATTTGGCCCGAGTGGCTGCGCTCGCTCAGCGAGAACAGGGCGAGAGACACGCCGATGCATCGGGGGGGATTTAAGAAGGAGGGGGGGAAAGGGAGAAAGAGAGATGGGAGGGTGGGAAAGAGAGAGAGAGAGAGAAAACAAACAAAAAAAAAGAAAGAGAAATACACGGGGGGAGGACGGGAGCATTGAAACATGTGAGAAAGAACGCGGGCCCCGAGAAGGTGGAGAGATGGGGTTGGGCGAGAGCGGCGAAATGGGGGGGAGGGAGAGCACCGCGCCTTCTGAAGCAGAAGTGCGGCCCACTAGACTGGGCCCTTAGTTTCCAGGCTTCGCGCCAGGGAAAACAGGAGCTGCAGGGGAGGGGCGAGTCGCGGCGGGGTGGCCGCGAGGCCCCCACGCTGGACGGCTACACGCGGCCGGTGGGGGCACCGAACCCAGAGGACATCACTCGCGAGCAGGCGCGCGCCCAGCGATGCGGGGCGGGACTGCGGTCGTCGTCGTCGTTGTCGTCGTTGTCGTCGTCGTCGTCGTTGCGTCGTCGTCGTCGTCGTCATAACGTCGTCGTGGTCGTCGTGGTCGTCGACATCGTCGTCGTCGTTGCGCCGTTGTCGTCGTCGTCGTTGGGTCGCCGTCGTCGTCGTCGCGTCGTTGTCGTCGTCGCCGTAGCCGTCGACGCCCCCCTCCCCGGGGGAAGAGGAAGACGACGAGGATGAGGACAATCGGGGGGACGACGGGCTCGGCATACGCCGCCGCCGTCGTCGCCGTCGCCACCGCCGTCGTCGGCTTCCCCCTCCTCCTCCTCCTCGCCCTCGCGATGCTGCACGGGCCGCTCGGGCAGTTTAACCAGACCGCGTCCTTTCCAGGCTGCGTGCTCCCCGCCCCCTCTCCTCTCCGTCCTCCTTGGCTTCGCATGACTCTGCAGATGTCTCGCGCGCGTGCCTGAACGTGCACCACGGGCAGTCTCTGGAGGCCACGGCCTCGCTCGCCTGGTCCGAGGCAAGCTCGGACACGTGCCCGCACTGGTGGTCGTTCGTTCCTCCTCCGCTCTCCGAGGGGCGTCTGGCTCTGGGCACGTCGGTCAGGGCCTTTGGGGTCCGCGCCAATGCGCCCGCGCTCGTCCTGCAGGGGGCCCACGGCGCCTGCATGATGCTCTGCAGGCCGCGGGGTGGGCCGCGCCCAGGCTGGGAGCCCCGGAGGGCTCCCCGGCTTGGACCCGCGTTGCCGGTGGCTCGGTGGCGTCCATGAGGGAGATGAGTCGGTTACACGTACAGTGGGGGCGCGCATCCAGAAACCATCTGCTTTTCGTCAGGGTATCCTGAGCTTCTTCGTTCCGCGCGCCGCGCGGTGGCTTCCCGCAGCCGGGGAAGGAGCGGCTGCGTTCAGGGTGCTCCGGGTTTCCTCTCCGGTGCACCTCGCGCGCGGGTTTTCAGGGTCAAGTTTCTTGCGAGGGTTCCTTGCGGCCGCGCCCGTGTTGTAAGAGAGACATTTCGCCGGAGCGACCTTTGGTGCGGGCACACTGGGGTCACCAGGAGGCTGGATGCGATGCGGTCGCAGCTGCATCCCTGCCCGGGTTTGGCCCTCCCGCGCTCCCCAAGAGTCGCGCACTGAAGGTCACGCTTGCTTAGGGTCACTCCTTGCGTGTAGTCGAGGCAGGACCAGGGAGGGCGTTCGAAGTGAGACCGGAGTTGGTGGTTTTCGGACGTGTCCGTCGGGTCTTTGGGTTTTCGTTCGCTTCGAGATGCGTTTCAGCAGCTGCGCCTCGTCGAGAACTTTCCCAGGGCTCCAGGATTGTCCTGGCTGGCCGCCCCCCAGGAGGGCAACCTGGGGCGCCCGCCCTTCGGCGGCCCCCAATCGGTGCGGTGGCCGAACCGTGTGGCGAGTCAGTGGGGGTCCAGGTGGCCGCACAGTGTTGGGACTCGGGTCGTTCTAGCGGGATGTCTCGGGCGACTGGGGCCTCCAGGGCCCCCAAACCAAGCGGGGACTGACCGTACGGTCTGTCACCGCACCGACTGGGGACTGCCGAGCCCTGACCTGATGCTCTTCTCGCCCGGGCTCGCCCCCCGCGCCGTTCGCACAGCGGACCCACGCTGCTTCTGACGTCCTGGCGCCGGCGCGGTCCGAAGCGGCATGCGTGTTCCGCTGTCCTGTCCCCGACGGGCTTCAGCGAGGGAGCACGCAGCGGTCGGAGCGGGCTGCGCGTGTCGGGTCTTGGCATCGGGCCCGTAGGGGCCTGCGCGGCTCTCGCCACGGCGGGCGCCGCCGTCGCCCGCGCCGGGAGCGCAGGGCACACGCCCTGACGGGAGCCCTTGACACGATCAGGAGCTCTTGCTCATGGCACAACGCGCCTCGGCGCGACACGCTAAGCACGCCCCCACTCCCAAGGCGTCAGCGTCCCCAGTCCGTCTGGACCTCCCACCCCGCGAAGCGAAGCGACACACGCACCCGCTTGCAGTGCACAGCGTGTCGATTGGGTCGCCGCCTCGACTCGCGAAGCACCTAGGGTCCCGACCGTCGGGCCGCTACCAGCAGTGATGCGTGCCTAGGCGTTGCGTTCCAAGTAGCGCTCGGCGGCTGCGGTAGTTTTCGAGTCCTGCCGGTGGCCGTGTTTGTGTCGGTGTAGGTTGTTTGCGCCATGTTACGATGCCGCGTTCGCCTCGTCCCAGTCATCATCATCTTCTTCTTCCTCCTCCTCCTCCCTGAACATATTTCGTTTTCCTCAGCCTCGCGTCCCTCCACACACTCGCACGGTTGAAGAAAGAGAGTGTGCGCTTGGCAGCGTGGGCGCCCCCCTCTGAACGAGGGGGAGGAGGAGGAGGAGGAGGAGGAGGAGGAGGAGGAGGAGGAGGAGGAGGAGGAGGGTGAAGATGAGGACGAGGCGGATGTGCACGAGGAAGGGGAGGAGGAGGAGGAGGAGGAGGAGGAGGAGGACGACGACGACGACGACGAAGAGGGGGAGGCGGGGTAGGTGAGGAGGAGGAGAAAGAGGATGAGGAAGAGGAGGAGGACGACGACGAAGAGGGGGAGGGGGGTAGGAGGAGGATGAGGAGGACCAGTGTAAACCCAAGAGCCATCAACGATGTTGGAATACACCCTCTCTCCAAGCTCAGTCTTCATTGGCCCCATACATCGTTTGATTTCCATTGAGGGATCTGCCTTGTTGAATGACAACCGTTTGAAGGCCCGGAAGAATGCCAAAACATGGTTCTCGGGATTCCAACGCCACGGATCAACCTGACTGTTGCGCCTTGGCGATCTTGGATCGTGCCAGAACACCATTCTTCGGATTTCAACACCGCGAACCCATGTAATTGTTGCACCCGCAAACTCCGGAATCCTTCCCAAACACAAATTCTGGTACGTTGATCGCGGGAATCCGGGAAACTCTTGCACATTTTACAAACGAATGTGCGTGGCCTTAAGGCGATCGCTACATGTTGAAAAGGAACCGCCCTCAATCCGTGAAGCTCTTGCACACGTTCAGAACGAATGTGCGCGGCGCTAAGGCGAGAGCCACTTTTTGAAAACTGGTCATCCTCAACCCATGAAGGTCTTGCAATGTTTCAAGCGAGCGCGCGCGGCGCTAAGGCGATAGCCACATGTTCAAAATCACCCGCCCTCCATCTGTGAAGCTGTTGCCAATGTTCAAACTTCAGTATCATTATCCCAGTGCGACCCTACTTAGGAGTTTGATGATATAGGACAACAACATCTATATCGAAACCGAAAGCTACATCAACATCTACACCTGTATCTACATCCACATCAACATCAACAGCGATACTCACATCTACATCTACATCTACAGCTACATCTACATATACATATACATATACATCTACATCTACATCTACATCTACATCTGCATCTACATCTGCATCTGCATCTGCATCTACATCTACAGCTACATCTACATCTACACCTACATCTAAACCTACACCTACACCTACCACTACACCTACATCTACATCTACATCTACACCTACACCTACACCTACACCTACACCTACACCTACACCTACACCTACATCTACATCTACATCTACATCTACATCTACACCTACACCTACATCTACATCTACATCTACATTCACACTTTCGCATTGGGTTTGTTTTTGCTTTGCATTGCCTTGACTTTTTTCGCGTTTGATTTTTGTGTTGCTTTTGTTTTGATGTTGTTTTTCTTTTGCTTGATTTTGTTTTTGGTTTGCCTGCGCACAGACACACATACACGCATGTTATCGCATTCGATCACCGGCTGCGAGCTGCGACCCACGAACTGCGAGGCGCTAGCCGCTCGCTCACTCACGGCGCCGGCGCTTGTGCGTCCCCTCGTCCTCGTCGTCGCCGATGTCCTCCCTCTCCGTCGCGTTCCCCCTGTTGTTGTCAGTCGACGACTTCTCCTCCGTCCACGTGTCCATGAACCGCCATATTGCAGCTGCAGGCTGTGCAGCATTGCAGATTAGATGTTGGATAGCGGAGAGCAACATATGATTGTTGCCGATGATCTGGAACAAGTACGCGGAGAAAGCGCTTCGTCGGAGTTGGTGCGCTTTCTGCCTGCCCTGCGCCGGATGGGCTGTGCAGTACCACCTGGTGCCGAGGCGGACTCTGCAGCACCGCTGAACGCCTCACTCCGCCAACCTCGGGACATGAGCGTGGGCGGCTGTGCGGCAGGGGCCTCCGGACTTGAGCCGGAATGGTTACGGAAGGCACTGCTTGCGGGGGCTCCGGTCCGGCCATCGAGGCCAGCTCGGCATCTGTCGCACATTGTTTTTCCTTTGCCTTTCCTTTGCTTTGCGTTTGCTTTTGCTTTTGCTTTGCTTTGCTTTGCGTTGCTTGTGCTTTGCTTTGCTGTCGCTGCTGTTGCTTTGCCTTTGCTTTGGTGCTGTGCTACGCTCTGCTATGCTATGATATGCTATGCTATGCTGCGCGGTGCTATGTTGTGCTGTGCTGTGCTGCGCTTTGGTATGCTATGCTACGCTGCGCTATGCTATGCTATGCTGGGCTTTGCTATGATATGCTGTGCTGCGCTGTGTTGTGCTACGCTCTGCTCTGCTATGCTGTGCTCTGCTACGCTAAAGCTCGGCGAAACTAAGATGAAGGTAAGCTAAGCTAAGATAAGATAGACCTGAGCTAAGATTAAACTAAGCTAAGCTAAGATGAAACAGGGTAAGCTAAGATAGGATAAGCAACGCTAAGCTAAGGGGCCGTCACTGGGGGAACCGCGGGGCGGATACTGGGGGAACCGCCCGGGGCGAGGACCACTGCCCGGCCCTGAAGGCATACACGGTAAGAGCCCTTCTAGGCAGAGCCTCGGTCGGGATTTAGTGGCGAGGATTTATCTGGCGAGGCGCCCAGCCCGCCCTAAAAAATGGCATCGGGGTGCGACAGGGAGGCATGATTTATGAGGACAAGGAAGGGAGGAGGAGGAGGAGGAGGAAGAGGATGACGAGGAGGAGGAGGAGGAGGAAGAGGATGACGAGGAGGAGGAGGAGGAGGAGGAGGAGGAGGAGGAATGGGGAAGAGGAGGCCAGGAGGCGAGGAGGGAGGCGGCGGGAGGGAGAATGATAACGAGGATCAAACGAGGTGGGGGAGAAGGAGCAGGAGCAGGAGGAGGAGGAGGAGGAAGACGGCAAGAAGGAAGAGGAGGAGAGGCAGGGGCAGGAATTATTACCCGGAGGCTTCACATGTTGAGGAACCTCCCGAATGGAGAAAACGCGCCCGGAATGCAAGAGGAGAGCTTGCAGAACCGACGCCGAGCCCTCCATTCACAGGGGGTATTGGAGAGCCTTGCGGTGTTCGGGGGCTCAGACCTGCAGAGCGGGAGAGGAGGAGCAGGGAAGCACAGAAATTCGAGGAAATCACAAATAATCAGAAAACAGAGAATGAGGACAGGAAAGAGGAGAGAGAGGCGCGCGCGAGGACGACCACGAATGAACGACGACGACGCCCGCCCGCGCCGCGCCCGGCGTCGGAGCAAGAGGAGGAAGACACCCAACCGTCTCACACGCCGTCCCACCCCCGGCAAACGGAGGCGACCAGAATACGCAAGCTACCCTGGCCCACCGTGTGGCATTGCACAAACATTCTTGTGCGATCTGTCAGTTTGCTGCCACGTCAGAATGATGAGCCGCTCAAGCGATTCAGACACGCATTGAATCACCAGCCGCTCCATTCCACCGACGGATTGCATCCATATTCTCAGATTCGGAGTTGTGCCGCGGGATCTCGAAGGCCTCTCGTGGAGTGGTGGATTGGAGGTTGAGAAAGGACGACGCAGCGACCCAAACTGGAACAATTGTTTCGGTTTCGATTCATGCCTCGCGCGAGGGCGAGACGAAGTTGCGAGACGGCGACGAGGTACCGAAGTAGTTGGGGCCGAATCGTGCAAACAATTCCTCTGGTTGCAGTGTTCGTCGCCGTGGTTGTCCCGCGGTTGTGTCTCGTTTGCCCCGCGGGTTCTCCCGCGGTTGTCCTGTTCGTTGTCGCGCTGTTGTTCCGAATGTTGTCCCGTGGGTTGTCTTGTGTATGTCCCGTGGGTTGTGTCGCGGGTTGCCCCGTGGTTGTCCCGCGGCTTGTTTTGTGGGGTGCCCCGCGGTTGGCGCCGCGGTTGTCGCGCCAAGAGGTCCGTGAATTTTGTAACTCGAATTGCATATATAGGTGTACGGAGGCATGATCACGCAATTACATTCAAACTGCGGGTCGAACCGCAACCCAAAAACAATGCCAAAACACGGTTCGTGGCAATCGACACGCTAATCGGCATGCACATCCACATCGCATCGGGTGGTCGTAGATACGCACATCGAAACGCATCCGGCATGGGAATACAAGTGCTCATCAACGTGCACATCGAACTGCAACCTTGATGGGGCATGTACTTGCCAACCGAGTCGCACGTCGCCGTGTAATTCGGAACGCAAGGTCAATGGCCATCGAATGGCAGTCGCAACGCGCTTCTAACTTAGGTGCAACATGTTCACAATGGAATCGCATTACAAATCGAGCATATGGAGTGACTACTGCCAGACTGAATTGTATATATATATATTTATATATACGTATATATGTATGTAGATATATACAGACATGTATACATATGCAGGGCGGACCAGTGATAGGGAGGTCACTTTATGAATCCGTACCAGCATCGAGATGTGGGCAGTTGGATCCGTAGATGGAAAATGAAGTTGGAAGATCGGCAGCGAGACCAAGATGTAGGAGGCGAGGTCCGCATGTAGATGGTGAGACCGATAGGTGCGCCCATACCCTTCCCCAAGCTCCTTTGTCCCGGGGAAAGTGGTCCATGTGGCATGGGTTATCAGCCAACTCCTAGAAGGCAGGGCAGCGCACGTATCCACCTTGTCCCTGTGATCGAGGATAGGATTCTGGCAGCCGTGAGGACGTGCATGCCCCATCGGGGCGAGAGCGACGTGCGCAGCAGTGAGTTCCATGGCGGGCGGCGGCAGGGGCACCGCGCACCAGCCCGCCGCTTTAGCGGGTGGCAGGAAGAGGAGCACGGCATGCCACGCCTGCCTTTGCCAGCGCGGAAGCGCGCTGACAAGGCTGCAGTCGCGTTTTCGGGCAGCCATGGTGTCTCTGTCCCCACAGGAGCATTGGCCACCGAACCACGAGCCAAAGAACCACGAACCACCAAAGCTTACACCGCACAGGCCCAGGTGCACCACGAACCACGGAGCCAGGGGGCACCAAACCACGGGCCGTCGAACCACGGACCCCCAGCCCCCAGCCGCGGGGGACCACGTCACGGAACCACAGAAAGTTTCCGTGGTTCCGTGACATGTGCTTAGCACATGTCGCGGCAACACAGGCGACAGAGCGATGAACCACAGAGCCACGTGGCACCGAAACGCAGAGCACCGGCCCACGGGCCAAGGAACCACTTGTTTCGTCGGGTGCGTCGGAGAGAGATAGAAAAGGGAAGGAGAGCACGGCCGTACGGGGGAAAGGGGGACATCTCTCTCTCTCTCTTTTTTCTCTCGTCCTTGTCGTCGTCGTCGATGGAGAGGGAGGGGAGAAGGAGAGAGCGGGAGAGTGAGCAGGGGAAAGTTTGCATTGAGCAAGGCATCGACAAAGAGTGGGAGAGGGGGAGCGAGACAAGTCCGACACCGCTCCGCCAGTACCACCAGTTCATGCTCGGCAAGCCGGAGAAGTACTCCGCGGAGCTGAGGACGGCCGCCGGGCCCGAAGCGAAGCTGTCCGCCTCTGGGCGGCAGGGGCCCCCTCGACCTGCTGCTCTGGCTCTTCGTCCGTTGGCTGGGGGTGGGCGGTGGCCGCAGGCCGGACTGCAGACGAAATCGTCGGGGAATGTGCAGTCAGCTCGAGTGCACGTAGGAGCGACCTTTCGCCGGAGCGACCTTTGGTGCGGGCCCACTGGGGTCCCCCGATCGTCGAAGGCGGTGCGATAGTAGTGTCTTGTGCGCTTGTGTTCGGTCCCCACACGGCCCCCAAGAAGCCGCGCACCAAAGGTCACTCTTACCCAGGGTCACTCCTGTGTGTAGCCGATCAGCACGGATCGCAAGGAGGAGCGACGTTCCAAGGTTGCCCCTGCATCTTCGCGCGGTCGGGGCGCGAGCGGGGGGCATGGATGACGTGCCGGTCGCCTAGATAGAAGGTGTCTGTACCGTCGTTGCCTTTGCTTCGGTCCTGCCGTCTTGGGTCTCCTGGGAGGCCCTCGTCGCCACGGCCGGATCTGCCTCGAAGTTCTGGTCAGGACGCAAAACGGGAGAGGTCTGGGGAGCACAGTCAACCGCATAGTAAGGATGAGCGACTTTCCAAGGCTACCCTTGCCTCCTTCCCTTTGGGCCCATCCTTATCCACTTTCACTGGCCGCGCCCCGTTCGAAAAGTGCAGGCTTTTCCTTCCACACCCCTCGCAGCCCATGCATCCTTGTCGTGCGTCCTTCTTATACGCGTTGACTGTAGAACCTCCTACATTGTGGGCGGTGAGGGTTTCCTGCTACCTTGAAACCTCTCTTAGGTCCCGGTCATGCCTCCCTACCCCCACTCGCCCCCCCTCATCGCTATACGTAAGTTCAACCTCGTCCTCTCCCTCGCTTTCACCTTCTTACCCCCCACTTTGGCCCTCACCCTCGCCCCACCCTCGCGACCATCCGCACCCTCACGGTCAGTCGCAGCCTTTCTGTCTTGCTCGCCCTGCGCTATGCCATTGTGTCCCGCCTTTCTGCTATGATTTGCTGGGCTATGCTATGGCCGTGCTGCGCCACGAGTCGCAATATTTTACCTTCGTATGCCATGTTTCGACACGTGACGATGTGCTAGGCGACGTCATGATGCACCCTTGTTGTCATATGACATGTTATTGGATTATAGGCCATGTTTCTGTACAAACTCGCCAGGCGGTGCTATGATATATTGGTCTACGTTTGGCTTCAAAGAGCTTTGCTTTACGTAGCATGACCATTCATTGCATTGGTTTCCACATGCGGCAAGTGTACCTTCCAAGTTGAGGTCTCGATAGTACCACTTGTATATTCAGACGATGGGGCCCCACATTAAAAATGTGTCAGATAAGCGTGGGAGGGAGGAGGGGTGAACACACACACAGGGGTGGAGAAGGGCCCCCCTCAGCAGACACTATGTGGAGTATGTGAGAAGGAGGAGGAGGGAAGAGCGAGGAGGGTCTCTGCAAGCCCTATGTCCGTACAACCCCCTGTTCTCGTACAAACCGCATTTTAGAACACATCGTGTGGTCGTGCCTGGTGATCAAAGAGGCCCTGCACTCCTGTATCCGCACTAACCGGGTAATTGTAGAACTTGAATTTTCGCATTTGCCTAATACTGCGATGCGTACAAGTCCTATGCTTCAAAACCGTACGAACCATATGCTCTTGAAACATTATGTTCGTAAAGTCCCTATGCTCGCACAGCTTTCAAGACCGTGCAGTCGTGGCTTGCTGTAAGGCGCGATATGTGTGACGGGTGCGTCCAGAGAGGACGTTGTCAAATCTTTGTTTGTGCACGAGACGCGTGAGCGGTATACTTGACTGTGTCCGCGGCTCGTATGGGGGCTTGCTGGGACGCTGGCGGCGCGTCCTGGAGTTCACGGGGCCCTCCTGGGACCTCTTTGGAGTTCACAGGGCCCTCCTTGAAGTTTACATGGGCGTTCCTTGGACTTCACATGCCCTCCTTGGAGTTCACAGGGCCTCCTGGGGCCTCCGCGGGCATCCCTTGGAGCCTCCTTGGAGCTCACAGGGCCCTAGCTTGGGCCTCCTGTGGCATCCCTCGGAGCCACCCTGCGCCTCCCGGGGCATCGCGCTGCATTATGGGGCTTCCTGCGCCGTGCTGGGGCCTCCCTGGGTATCCGCCTCCTCCTCCTCCTCCTCCTCCTTCCCCCCCCTCCGTCTCCTCCAGCCACGTGGGCTTGGCCAGGAGTGGGCCGTGGCCGCGCTGTGCGCGGGCGCGACATGACCAACACGTCCTGGCGTTGCGCCTGCTGACGGCGATGCGCGCTGGCTGGACCATCGCGCCCTTCGTGCTAAAGGCAATGCTCGTGGTGGTCTGGAACCCGCTGAGCCTCGCGGACCGCGACAGGGAACTGGATATTGCCTACGAGTACAACCCGGCCGACGCCATCATCCTGATCGGCACGCAGCGCCAGAGCAAGGCAGAGACACCCTACACGGTGGAGGACCTTCCCCACTTTCGCGCTGTACATTTTGGCTGAAACAAGAAGGCGCGCCAGGCGCGCCGCGCCCCAGCAACAAATCCTGCGGAATCGCAGTCTTCCTCAACAGAACCACGACCCGGACGACTCATACCACACGGATATGGACACCACCGACGGCAATACACGGAAGAGTGGGAACCCTTCGGCTGGGCAGCAAGACCTACGACATCACGTTCATCGGCTTGTACTTCTGCCCGCGGAGCCGAGACGGAAGAGAACAGCATCGCATCGTGAACACCACCAACGCGATCGACGACTTCGTATCATCGCTGCTAGCCGCTCTCCCAGGACGAACAGCACCGATCATCGGCGTGGATGCGAATGACGGCATCGGCGTAGTGAACGCTGCAATGGGACCGCAGCAAGTCGAAAGTGAGAGCGTGGGCCCCTACGCCAGACAGCTGGAACACCACGCAGGGGCTAAACTGAAGAACCTGGCTGAGAGCAACGACATGGTCTTCATGGGCATTTTCTACCCGAGCGGGCCCAGCTCCTGTGCCGCGGCCTACACAGGAAAGCAGCACGTGTCATGGATCGATCACATCCTGATACCGAACACCATGAAGGAGCGGGTCACCAAGTTCGGACACGCGTACCGCTCGACCCGGAGATTGCAAGCTATACCTGACGCACGGCCAAATGACCACATGGCCTGCATGATGGACATCAACGTGGATCTCGACTATAAGGAGAGCGCGCCGACACTGCGATAGGACTTTGCGAAGATGGCCGAGGCCCTGGGGAACGAGCAGAACGCCTCACCGCTCCGAAAGAAGACCGAGCGCGAGATCGGCAACTACATCACTGAGGCGGGCTGCAATGACATGCATGACTTGCTGGCCGTGCACGGCGCGCTGGAAGGGGCACGGAAGGGCCTTGTGCGGCTACTGCAACAAGCAGGACAGGATATGTTCAAGGCGACGCCGAAGGTCTTGCCGCAAGAGAAACACAGCCTCGCTGCAGAGCGAGTGCGACTACTACGACAGCGTGGAGAAGCACGGGCAGCTATGGCGGATGAGCTTGAGTCAGCACTTCGCCTCCATCGGATCTCGAGTCAATGCGAGCGAATGCGGAAACGACAACGCGAAAAGCGAGAACAGCAGCTCGGTGATGAACTCGAAGAAGCACACCGTCGCGGACAAGCTCACGAATAATGGCGCATTTGCAGGCTGATCGCTGGAAGAGGTATCGGACCCAGACGACGCAACTTCAAGATGATTGCAGTCTGCGCCCCGACCGCGGACCAGTGGAATACCGACGTGACGAAGCCTGCGAAGGACGGGGGCATGGGCGCCCACGAGATCAGCAAGGACGACTTCATCTACAATGCTAGTGCACACGATCAGGCGGGACCACCGACGCTTTGGCTGGAAGGGGGGCGCGGAGGACTACCGGCGAATCTGCAAGGCCCTCAGACGAACGACGCGACGACGAGCACCAGTGTCGTGGTCAGTGTCAGTGGAGATTTGGCCCACCCTCCTGTCAACCAGGCTTGCCACGACGGAGCGCGCCACTGGGCTCGGAGCTGGAGAACCCTTCCAAGACCTCCCACATATTCGACATTGGCTGATTGGAATACTGGCGCGAGTGCGGCAACACCAACGGCGGGTTGCGCGCTGGAATATGTCCCAGACGCACCAAGTCAGCAAGCATAACCAGAAGGAGGGCACCAAGTCGACGCGCCTGCTCCACAGCCCCTGCCCCTTGAGAAAGCTCTGGGTAAAGACGGCGCAGCAGAAAGACCGCAAAGTACCTGGCCGCGACTGCGGCTACCTCGGCTCCAGATCGAGAGCGGAAGCGATACGCACGACGAAATGCCTGAGCTTGAGGACGAGGAGCCATCGCATCTCAACGGTCGACACGAAGCGCGACATGCAGAACGCGTTCGCCTCTATCCGCCACGTGCAGTTCGCCAGGGTAGTTCGACGTCTGCAACGCGAAGGCGACGCCGCCCTCCTTGTGCAACGACACCGACGGGCCTGCTTTAGGATGGGCGCGGAGGGCGAGACTACCGCGATGAAGAAGGAGGAAGGCAACTACATCGGCGACGCCAGCGCGGCCAACGCGTTCCAGGAGGCATTTGCGGTGCCCGTCTGACACTGGCAGCAGCTCCACCGCGAGAAATACCCCAACGAGCCCATGGCCTGCGACCCGCTCTCCGACGAGCTCGTGGACCTCCCCCTCAGAGTCTACGCGGACAGCGTGAACATGACGCGCCGCGCAGTGGGCCCGGAAGCGCGCGAGCGACGCGACACTGAGCTCCGCCAAGCAGCTGGGCATTGCGCTGAGAGGACTCGGAGTGGTACAAAGCCAAGGCAAGAAGGCGATCTTGCCTCACTATGTGGGACCGGGAGCGAATGCCTACAGCAGGCGCGTCTTCTACGGCACAACGGCGCTCACCTTCAACGTCCCAGGTGCGATCCTGAAGGAGGCCGCCTCGTTGACACCATCTCCACCTGCAGCGGTATACTCTGGCCTGAA